CACTGTCTCTGTTGGTGGCCTGCTGAAAAGTTTTTGTTTTGAAAAATGTGCTTTAAATGTCAAGTCTAGTTTGCTATACAAAAAAATTAAAAATCTGCCACTTCACCAGTTGTACATGAAATACCCAGGCATTAACATTGCTGGGATGATCTTTCAGTGTTTGGCTGGATTTGCACATTTGTGGTTAAATAGCGTATTAGCTCACATACAGCCCGACCTGGAATATAGTATGTACCTTGTTTTTTGAAAGGCACAATGGAAAAAAAAAGATCTGTTGTTGTAGTAAGTAACAGTAGTAGCAGCAGCTAGGGGGTAGAGCCTACTTATTGCCTGTATCTGGCAGGAACTGTTCTTGCTGTATATAATGCATTCTTAAATTTCCAGCAACTGGTTTTTGGGAGAAAAGTGCATGTTGTACACAAAAAAATATGGTAAGTTTTCATATGCAAGGAGCTTGTGGAATGGGACCTGGAAGGATGCACGAGTAAAAGGGCTCCGAAGGAAACTCACACCAGCATGCGCACACGGTACAGGAGCAAACACTCTGCGGTTTGCAGAATGGAGGCGGTTAGCCATGTTAATTTGAATAATCAGTTAATCTCTAAGGTGCCAGCCTGCCCTCTCTTCTGCAGTTTAAGGCATCATTTTCCTAAAAACCTTTGGGATTGCACTTCCAAATCCATTAAGACTGCAAGATGAGTCTCTCAAACTTCTGTAGAGGCCAGGGTTGTCAGAGCATTTTCCACTCAGCCACCTTGTGCATATGAATCGCAGCAGATTGCTTTCACACCAGCTACGTGCAGGTTAGATGGTTAATAGAACTGCTCCTCACTGTCTTCTGAATCTGGGTGGTATGTAAGGAATGAGATGCAAGTGGAAGGTAAAAGTGGAAGCCCCTTTTGTATAACTCAAAAAACAAAAAAATGCTGCTGTCAAAGCATATCTATCTCTCCTGCCAACTAAGAAAGGGAGACGTGTGCAGAACGACAGGGAGCGGTCACACAAGGACTACTGCCATGTGCATGCAGAGGGAGCAGAGTTCAGTATGTGTATGCTGCAAGCATCTCTTGAATCTGCCAGCTCAGCTTTCTTGGAGTCCTCTTGTATGGCCTTACCTATTGAAGATGGAAGTGTGCTTGTGTGTGTGTAGAGTGCACCTTCCTCTCAGTTTATTTTCAAAGACAAGATCAGCTACTGTCAACTGGGAAAGAGTCTTTTAGCTACTAGGTTGCTGGTTTCCCTTGGAGTTTCTCCATCAAGAAACTGTCTCTTCCTGTGCTTCAGAGCTGCAGTCTTGAAACCTTTAAAAAGACTTTAACCAGACGGTAGCATAATCTGTGGCCCTGTCTGGATAGTCAAAAGTAGGGAGGATTAGCAGGCAACCTGAGGTGAAAAAAGTCTTCCCTAATCATGGCGTTGAAGTGGCCAATAAATAGGTGTACCTGATGGTTAGATACATGGTGGTCCTATTTCTGGATGATGTGAACGCTGCCATCTGCTGGCTAACAGAAGGGACGTGTCCTAGCTTAATAAACTTCTGGACTCGCCCGACTGCCCTTTCAATGCTAATCCTGATCAACGGTCTACTTTAAAAATGACTGTTTTGGCTGGAAGGCACCAGCCTGAAACGTTTTTTGTTCCTTATCCCTCTCTTCATAAATTCAATCAGCTGCTCCTCTCAAGGTGAACCGAGGACATGACTAGCTTCTGGCTGACTTGGCAAGTCAATCACCTGTATGCCCTGTACATTGAAAACAGGCTATTCTGGGAGCCAAGAGATTTTGCAGTTAGGACCGGCTCAAATCAGATGGATACCAAGTGGTGTCTGGTTCATCAGTGGAGGAGGGGGGAGTAGAGCAACTGCACAAAGCGGTTTTCTAAAATTCAGTGTCATTTTTTTTAGAGGTGCAACAGTTTTGATTATCAGTCGCAGCAAGGCACCAAGGACAACCAGAGCAGAGCAGCATTATCTATAAAGCAGCCCTTGAACAATGAGTTATCAGCCAGTAGAGGAAGAGAAAGGTTAGGACAGGAAAAAAAAATGCAAGGATTGGGTGCAAGTGGTTTCTGTCCTCCAAGCCCAGTATATGGATAACACCAAGAAGGGGTGGGTGGTCATAGCTCCACCTTGGGGCTCCTTTAATGATCTGTGCCAGCTTCAGAATAGAAATGGAGCCTCTGAACAAATAGCTAAAAGGCACTGAGCCAAAGCTAAGCAGCAAGTAGACCAATAAGTGATAGTTGCTTGTATTTAAGGCTCATCTTGTATTCACAGCATGCAAGTCACCAGACAGGGCACTGAATGTTGCTGAGAATTTGTACCTGTCATTCCAAATGGGAAAGAAGATATGCAGTGTCCATGGTCTCAGTAGCTGTCAGCAGAGGGCCTGTAAATTGAACTTGTTTGTTAAAGTGTGTAATGCCCACCTCTGATACAAGGGGAGAAAGATCGTGTCTTAACAGACTGAGCTTTTAAAGAAAGGTTTGGCTATAATGGGTAGGAAAAAAGGATAGAGGGGGACCAGCAAAAAAGAATGAACGTGAAGAGACCATTAGGAGAGTCGAGATGTACCAAGGAATAAATAGATAAATAAGGTGTTGTGCAGCCAGCTGCTCTAGAGCTGGCTGGGATGGTCTGAGCAGGCACCAGAAAATGATGGGCTACTGAATGCAGATGATTTGAGCAATACTAGCTCTAAGGTCAGGTCTGGAAGTGCAGCAGGGCTTTGGGGTTGTAAACAGACAGTGGAAGGGCCAAAGGTATCTGCTACAATTAAGGTTTTGCCACTGAAGCAGAGCTTGTTGTCTAGACAATATATAAATTTCTTAAAAGGACATTTGTGTTCCTGGGGAGGGGGGCTGTTGGGGGGGCGGGGGTGATGGGACAGATGTGCTTGCTTGTCTTCTCCAACGGTACAAGCTCTTCTGCAGTTGCTGTGGTCCCTAGAGTTTTTCCAGCTGTGGGTTTGAAGATGGTTGACTGGCAGGAGTGCGAGCTGTATGTGCATGCTATCTGAAAGCCAGACTACCTACCCTCACACATCATTATTGGGAAATGCAATTTTCCTCAAGCCAGTGCAGCAGTTGGACTGTTCTGAGTCGGTTTAAAGTTTCAGCTTAAGTTTGCAACAGCCTGGCCTCAGCACAGGGCTTCCTGCAGTCTCACTGAAGGCGAGATCCTAGGTTGTCTTGAACCCTGCTCACTAACACAAGACTATGAGATCAGCTGGTTACAGTGAGCCAGGTGAGCAACTCTACAATCCCCATGTGGGTCTGTATAAGGAGATGGCTTAGAGTTTCCCCAGTTACGTGGCTGGGGATCAGCTCCTTGGAGCTACTGACAGCTAGGGAATATCAGATGAATTTTGAAGCATCTTCAAATGATCCCAGGAGACAGGTCCCCACTTTTAAAGCAGCGCATTTACATGGTCAGCTGTGCACAGCACCATGTGCCCTGCTGCCAAGTACAGAGGCATTTCTGTGCCCTTGGAAAGAGTGGAGGGCTCAGGCTCTGACCACACTGTCCAGCTCAGCCATGCTGCTCAGCAGTTCTTAGGTGTCCTTCACCTTAAATCCTGTGAACACTAGCTCCTGCAGCATTTGAGTGACACAGTTACAGCTCAGTACTTCACTTGCAGGACTGGCCCAATTGACTGGACTCAATTTATGATTTCAACCACTGGTTTTGCCAAGTTCAGCTAAAGAAGCAGTCTCCTACATATGTTAACAGGAAAGCAGTGACTGCCAGCTTTGGGGCTTCTCTTGCTGAGGAGTCTCACAATGGTCTTTGCATCATTAGCAGTACCGCAGTTGGACACTGCCTTCACGGTGCCTGTCTTTTCACCCTGGCAAGGTTGCTTTAAAGTATGCAGTCACAGGGCTTCCATCACCAGTGCAAGGGACTACCTCCTCCTAATACCAAGTGGGTGCGTTCCAGAAGATGTCTACTGCAATGGCATTTGTCTCATAAACTGGGACTTGTCCTGTAATGGATCACACATTTCTGCTGTAATGATCAGCAAGACAAACCTCTGCACAGGATGTAGCATATGGGTGGAATTATTATTTTTATTTCAGCCAAATCCTGCTACCTTGGTCTGTTTCTAAGGGCCAAAAGGGGTGATGTGGGAGCTGTCAGGCAGTTCTGAAAGCACTGGCTTTGGCAACGCTCAGATGTTAAGCAAATTCTCACCCTACCACCACTGCCTGGAACAGTTTGGAACACCTTGCACTTGACTCTGGTTGGGTAGGTGGGGCTGAAAAGCACTGTACAGACAGCTTAGCAGTCATGTAGTTCCCCATCTATAAAATGGGGAGAGGTGGAGTTTCTCCAGGCCAGAATCCGTGTCCTCTCACCATCCCTCTCCATAGTGTATGTATTACCTTTACAGAGAGTGTGGCGGAGTCAGAAACCTGAAGCTCAGCTGACTTTCCCTATGGTTCTGCCTGGCTCGTACAGGCATTTACAAATGAAAGCAGGTGTAAACAACCTTTCCCATTCAGGCTGCCTTGAGCAGCTTCTCTGGTCATCGCACAAGTCAGTAGGGTTCTCCTCTACCATTAGGACCTCAAGCACTTCCTGAGTTCAAGCACTTGGATGTAAACAGCATGCTGTCCTGGCCTTGCCAACAGGCAAGCAGATTTCCAGCTGATAAGATGGTTTGAGAAAGCAGACAGCTGATGACGTGCTCCCAGTCTATTTTAGTGAATACATGTGATCATTAATCTGAAGGGCTTTTCTAGGAAGCGGTTCCAAGTTAGTGTGAAAAGGCACAAGTGTCTCCTTGAATAGCACCATGAAAGAGCATCTTCACTCTAGACAACAGGCTCCAAATGCTGTTGTGACTCATGGATCACGTTGGGAATGCCATTGCCTGCTGCTGTTTAGAAGCAGGTAGCAGTGGTAGGGCTCCTGGCCTCTCCCCGTCACCTTCAGCTGCATGCAGCTGCACAAACCCCATGCCTTGCTCCCCTCCCACCTCAACCAGCAGTCCTGAAACTTTTTGAATGCAAGTGTATTTATTGTAGCACAGTCTCGGCACAGAGTAAAATACTTGAGCACAGGAGTGTTGTTAGAATCTGTACAGCATCCTCCACACAACACAGACACAACACAGCAACATGCAGCCCTAGAGGCTTGGTAGCAACTAACAAAGACAGCTTAAAACACTGGGAAATCCCAACAGTGGCTCATTCTCCAACCCAGACTCCTCCTCCTGCTGCCTGGCTGGACATGTACAAGGATCCGGATAAATGAGACGGACAATAAAAGAAACGTCTTGAACCATTTACAGAGTTGTCTTTAAGAACCTGAAGCATTTAGTTTACAAAAGTTTGAAGGCCACATTTTCATTTCAGAAACACCTCCCCTGGCCTCCTCTCCACCCTCCCTTTCCCTACAAGGAGACAAAGAGCAGCCCCTGCCACCCCAGTTTCTTAAGTGTGTCCAGGCAGTCACAACCCTGCGCCAGAGCCAGGCTGCAACATGCCCAGACTGATGCAGTGAATTGGTTCAGTTTCCCCACCCCTGTGAGCATGCAGCTTAGTTCTCCAATGAGACATCCCAGGAGGCTGTCCAGGCACAAGGCAGAGTGGTCTACATCAGCCTTGGCAGCTTCACTGTGCCTTATAGTCACTCGGTCTCAGCCAAGCCTTGCAAAGCCCTTCCCAAAGTCACTCTGGTTTCTGCAGTCCCCTTACTAGCTTAGAGGGGCCTCCACAAACAGGTAATTCTCAAGGGAAGCTTGGTCAAGGAAAGTTGTGTTTGCCCATCTGCTCATCCCCCTCCCTGCCCTCTGCTCACTAAGACCCACCACTGCCTGGCTGTATTCCCAGCAGCAGATTAGAGGGTGAGGTATTTCTGTCTGTCAAATGAGCCTCTACATGAACAAGACCTGCATTAAAAAGCGAGAACAAACTCAGTGCTGCAGTGAGTGCTAAATTGCTAATTTGAGTGTGGGTGCTTTTGTGCCAAAGGCAGCTTGTTTTAGAGAGGCCACTCCAGCAGCCTGAGGACTGCTCAGCCAGGCATCTCTCCAGTGGGACTGGAGCATCACCGTGGTCCAACACACAGAAGGACATTTCCACATGCCACCTTTTGACACTTTGCTCTGTGCACGATTGGCTCGGAGCTTCTTCCCCACCTCTGTGGGCCTTTCAGCTTATGAACAGGGAGCCAGGGTAAGGCTGTGCAGCAGGGTCCTTCTGAGAATGCTGTCAGGAGAAGTAGAGGCTGGGGAGGAAATCTCATATAGACCAAATCAGGAGTCTTGGGGCCTGCCTGGCATCTGACCTCATCAGCTCTAGTGGAGCCTGATCATTTCATACCTTGGGTTTGAAGCCATTCACATAACGCAGCCATGTGTGCTTGGAACTTGGAGAGCCGGGTCCACATCTACAAGGCTGTTGGGAAGTTTAGAGCAGGTGGCACAATGGGAAGGTGCTACTGGTCTTCCAGCTTTGCTCTCCAAGAACACGCTGAGCACAGATAAACTCAGATGTAGGCAGCTCAGAAATTCTAATGAACCATGACCGCATGGCTGACTAAGAAAAACCAGCCCCTCTCAAGAAGGTTTCTTAGCTGTGATTGGAGATGCAAGAACAAAATGGGAAGGCCACGTGTGTCACCTGTGCACTGCTGAAACAGCAATGTCCCAGAGCCCTCATGGCTTTCAGCAGTTCCCAACCAGTCAGTTCTTAAGTTGTAACATCACTGTGGTGAACAGAAACAAGGTTCCTCTTTACACATCCGAGTTCCAAAAAGTGCTCAGAATAGCTCCTAAGGAGAAAAGCAGGGGAGCCAAGTGCTGCCTGAAAAGAAGCAGAGATTCAACTCACTGACCAAAGCTACAGGTCTCTTATGAGGAGCCAAAGGGAGAGGAGAATGTAGATCCAACTTCTCCCTACCCAAGTTCTGTACAGATACAACCTTCCCTCCTCAGTTTATCCACTGGTGCTGGACAGGAGCTGAATGATGGCAAGGCTTTGCTGCCCAGACACATCCCTATGTAGTCGAGCCCATGCTTAACCTGCAAGAGGCCTTACACTGTGATGATAATGGAGAAAGCCTCTCCTCGTGGGAATCAAAGGGGGTCTGCACACTCTAGAGTAACCAACAGCTGGAGAGATGTCAACTCTTATTGCAAGGGCTGAACAGGGATTTCCTTTCCATACACACAGTGCCATCATCACAGACTCATGACATACCTTTGCCCCACAGTTCAGTGCAGCTCATCCGGCCCGAGTCTCTGCCTCAATCTTCTGCTCCCCGTGCAGGCTCTCTGGCTCCTGGACCTGTGCTATGTTCTGTCGGATGGCAATCTCGGGGCCCCCGCCATACACTGTGCTTAAATAAATCCACGTCTCCTCTGAAATTTGCCCGTAATCTGCTCCTGGAAAACAGTGGCAAAACCACAAAATATGACAAGATCTTGGTTTATGTCTGTGCAGAGTGAGTGCTGCAGGGTGGGAAGTGGTGTTGCTGTTTGGAGGCTGGCACTTGGGGCTTTAAAGGGGATCCTCTCCCTACTTGGGCATGTCACTGGGACTGGTGAAGCTGATGAAAATGTGACACTCAGCTCCTTCAGCAGGACATGAACTGTACCTACAAATATGCTACCCCAGTTCAATGCATAAGCCAGTCACCAAGTGGTTGTGCAGTGTACATATTGCTAAGCAGGAAAATCTAAATGTCAGCTGACTACCTCATGCCCTTCTCTTCCCACTAAGCAGTCATGTGCATTGTTTTGCTGGCAAATGAGCCAACAACTCTGCTTGATCCCAACAAAAGCTGCAAGCTTTCTTGCTGCCTACAGGCAAGGAGCAGCTGTAGAGGACAAACATCAGTATTTCCCCCTAAATTGCTATGCTCCCCACGTGACAGGGCACACATCACATCTAGAGCCTTAACCAAAAAGGACTGTTTTCCATCCAGCATGGACAGAGAGAAGCAGCAGAGATTTATCAAGGAGATTCAGGAGAGGTATGTAGTTCCCAGGTGGGGAAAGGGAACAGATATGCAGGGTTGTGAAGCTGGGGAGAAGAGTTTGGATTTGATGCAGAAGATGATGGGAAGCAATGCAAGGATGCAGAGGGGCAGGTGAAATGATCAGAGCAGCAAGAGAGCAAGGAGGTTTTTGTGTCAGTATTTCCTGCATGAGGGAGGCAGGCTTGACGACTTGCAGACAGATGAGGCAGCAGTAGCTGAAGTGGAAAACGATTCTGGGTAGATGAAACTTTTAGCAGCTGCAATGGAGAGAACAAGCAATAAGATTCTGCGTGAGGCTGGAGCACAGCCAGGATATTGCGTAAAGGGAAATGACAAGGCCTGACAGATGCTGCACACCTGGGTAGAGAGAAAGGACAGTGGAGCTGGGTGTGGAAATGGCGTCAGCGAGAGGAATGAGGGGATCTGGAGGCCTCATATGGAGTCAGATGCCACTGATACATTCAGAGGGAGATGGTAAAGAGCAGAACTAAAGGGTTAGAGATAGAAGTTAGTATGGGGGGTTGCCACAGGGATGATCCATTTTGCTTTGCAATGAGCAGAGACAGAGAGGCAATAACAGAAATGGATAGAGGATGTTCTCCATTAACTACCGGGACCAGGGCTACCGAGGAAAGACATGTATGCCAGCAGCCTATGCAGCAGTAAGGGAGGGCCAGGGTGGAGGAGGCTTGAGCACGTGCCTTACCCTGCTTCACCTGCACATGGCCACCTGCTTTCGTAAGAGCAATCTTGGTGTTGTCAATTGGTCCGGGAGGCTCTGTAAGAAAAAGAGGCATGGATCAGAGAGCTGTACTCTACCTGCCGTCAGCTGCTGCCCTAAGCAGTTGGAAGCAGAGCTGGGGTCAGGGAAGTAGAAGAGGATGTTTTCCTGTGAAAAGGGAAAAAAAAAAAAAAATTAAAAAAAA